TGCGAACCGAACGGCCGCAGTTATTAACCGCGCCATGATCCACTGATTGGATAACGGTCGCCCACTGCAGCCTAACTGGAGTAAAGATGAAATACTATGGGTGGAGTTGCATCGTCAGTGATTGTGCTTGTGGGACAAAATAAGCGAAAGTGTTGTGTGAAGGAGCTATGCTGTCTCCCGTTACTTGACTTTTCTTAAACAGTTGTTGCCTGGAGGACCGAGTTTGACGACACAAGAGATAGATACAAAACTCCGGCAGTAATAGCAACCAAATTCCATCAATCTCATTGACATACTCAGAGCGAAAAGGATATGTATCTCGGCAATAAATAAACGTCAGCAGCACTACGACGCTGCACACTTGACCGATGTGCTAGAAAGCCATCCGGCCTGCAATGGTGTGCGCAGCAGTTTCCTAAATAAAACGACAAGTGATTCCGTCAAAACGGTTTGAGCGGCCTTTTAGTAGATTATCGGTTCAGGTCTGCGACAGTACTCCGAATGGCAGAAGTTTGAATCACACGCAAAGGAGCAAAATACCAAATATCAGCTAGGTCCCGCCTCACCATCATCAACAACAGCAGTACATCAGTTACTTGAACTGATGCTTCGCCGCTATACAACAATAACGACAAAGGGAAGAAAGAATAATAAGAAGGAGAGAAGAGCGACCTAGCGCAAAACTTTAATGCGCTACGCAAACATTCAGGGTCAAGGCGCATACATCCTTGAGTTAGCAACATACCGTCACAAACAGCTGGCTATCGTGTAAAAATAAGGCGGCATTCGTGAGATAGTTTCCTTGCGGATTTAGTGCCACGCGTTCTAAGCAGCCATTATCTCGCAGGTAACACAGTACCAAACACACTTTAAACAGGCAGTCCGACTAGGAGACGGCAGCAAACGCGCCACTGTTGTCGACTGCGAACCACGTCCTTAAAGTCTCGAGCCAAGCACAACGCTGGTCACATGAAATCCAGCCTGGAAGGTGAGACGGACCAAGGGCACCCAGCTTGATCGCTAGAGACTAAATTTCCCGCTGCCAAGCCAACTTCTGTCCACCTCGAGCTTTGCGCCACCCTATAGCAGACAAAACAAGGCCATCCTCGGTAAGCGGTGATCAGGCATAGGTGGCACGCGCCTAAGCCAAGGCAACTTATTCAGTGATATCTGTTGTTCTAAGGAGCTAGTATGATTATTGTAACCGGTCCCAGGGCGTCATGGTAACTCGTTAACAGGTCGATAAGTTTTGCTTCTTACCCTCCCATTCCTCTCCGGCACAGTTTCCTTCCCTCCTCCGTGGTTCCTTAACTGCTTCCCCTACATCAGCCTCTTACTAGGCGGTTGAGCATCTAGCCGTCTACCAGGTATTTAGTTTGTGTTGCAGTTATAAGGGTCTATTATGACCCATCGTAATATTTGGACACGGAAGAGCTCGGAAAGCCTGAGGAATCTTACAATTATCACTACCTAGTGCTCGCCTACGCATATCATTGTTGCGGACACGCTGGTGCCACTAGCAATGCTTCGCAAACAACGATGATCAAAGACTTGAAGGCGTCTCAGATCTTCAGACCGAGGAGGCCAAACTTCAATCCCATACAGCAGGACGGCCCGTCATTGTGGCCCAGTAAACAGGGCCCCTCAGACGGAGGGAAGCTCCCTTCTGTCGCCAAAGATGCCGCAATTTCAAGAAGGCAGTTCTGACTTTTGCAATGCGAGAACTGACATCAGTTTCTATGTGCCCATCGTTGCTGATGCAGCTACCAAAGTAAGTAAATTGATCAATCACCTCGAGTTCCTCCTTAGCAAGGGTTAAGTGATCATCAAGTGGTGGTCCTGCAGTAACACTTTGCATTTTGAAGGTGCGGAAGCGCATACTAAATAATGGGACCACTCTATACAGGCTATTCAGCCTTGATTGTGCCGCCTTAACATCGTCAAAAAGCAAGATGATATCGTCCGCATAATCGAGATCAACGAATTTTTCGCCAGGCAGCACTTTAACGCCTACATCGTGAGATTCCGTAAGGGAACATTTCATGATAGAGTCCACAAAGAAATTGAACAAGGGGGAAGTCGGACAACCCAGACAAACGCTACTTGTTGTCAGGAATCTATCCGATAGGTCACCGTAGACCCTGACGCGGCCTGTAGTGTTCGAGTATGAAGCATATACTTCGTCGGGACACCATTTCGCGCAAGTATTTCCAACAGAATGCATCGATCGACTGAATCGAACGCACGATTTATGTCAGGGAACACAGCTACTGTCGGTCTGCAGTATGCGTGTCGCTGCTCTAGCACTTGCCGCTGAGTGAATATATGGTCTATAAAGCCACGTCCTGGGCGGAAACCTACCTGCTCTTCCCTAGTAAGTGATTCCCGTTCCACAATCAGTCGACGAACGAGAATCGAGGAGCGTAATTTTGCCACAACTGGCATTAGGCTAATACCCCTATGGTTAGCACAGTGTGTGCCACTGACCTTTTTGTATATTGTCACTACAATCGATTCACTCTAGTTAGCCAGGACACTTCTTCCAGACATGTGTGAAGAGGGAGGTCAGTGATTTGCAGAGGACCTCCACTCCATCTTTAAATAGTGCAAGTGGGAGGAAAACTGGACCAGCGACACGAAAACGATTGAGGGTTGTGATCGCGTTCCGGAACTCGGCTTCCGACGGAAGCTGTAAAGTAACGGACCATGGCTCGTCTTCCATCACCTGAGTAGGAAGACGTCCCGGAGCAAGAGGCCAACAGAACTGATCTTGAAAGTGTTCCGCCCAACGACTGATACGGCGTTCCTTACTATGTATCAGTGCACCCGCAAGGTTTACTGACGCTTGGTTTTCTGGGACCAGTGGTGCGAATCAGCTAAAAGAGTATGCGGTAATTCCCTACTGCTCCTGCCTCCTCCAGTTCTTAAGCCCGACTAGTGAATTAGGTTTGCTTTTCAGAGTGCAGGCTCCGCTTTAGTTCGCGTCTAAGAGCCTGTCTGGTCACCTTGTGCTCAGAGCCAGCCGGGAGGTTTCTCCTGGATTTCAACAGGTTCATCGAGCTCTCGGATGTCCAGTGGTTGGTGCGGTGACGATTGATAGCACCACAAGCAGATGCTCCTGCGTCGTGCATGGCGGCCGATTCTATTCCACTGATGCGCAATGTCATTAGGACAAGAGAGCGATGGTTCGGTATGCAGCGTGTCTTGATAGGCTTGCCTGAGATAATTTTACAGTTGCTAATCGAGGGAGAAGCTTGGCGCGCCTCTCGGTTAAGCTCATAGAGAAACGACGGCGACTAAGGCATTATCAGAGGCGACACAGGTACTCCATTACGAGTGGCAATCCAGGATGGAGCCCAACACATGTAACCTATAGCAATATGATTTGGGTTCATCGCTGGCCAACTACAGGAGGCCGCCAAGTTGCACTTCGGCGCCCACTGTGTCTAAAAGCAGTGCTACTAAGAAACAACTGGTTCGCCGCACACGGTTGCAGGAGACGCTCGCCGTTTTCAGTCCGTTCGGAGTTAAACCCATAATTATCACCCAGCTGAGCTTCTGAAAAGTTCAGACGACCTAGTTGTGTGTTCATATCCCCTGTAGGTACTACAATATCTGAATTAGTAGCACTGCATAGTATCGTGTTCAGTTCGTGATAGAATGCGTCCATGACTGCATCAGAACTGTAGTCGGTAGGAGCATAAGCTGAGGTGACAAACAAACAGCCGTTTCTACTACTTCGTGAATCAACACTGGTCGATGTCGTCAAACGAGTTGCACATAAACGGCTGTTCACCGGAATCCAAGCAACCAACGATGACTCAGCCCTGGAGCTTAGAATGATGTCTACCCCTGCATGACCCGCGAGTGCTATATCGACGTCGCCGGATGCGTGCAGCCAATAGCGAGAGGACAAGCCGGGCGTAGATAATTCAACAACTCCAATAGGGTCATTGATCCCAGTTTCGGACACACATCATACGTCAATACCCAGTGTGTCCAATGTACGTGCGAGTGCAGCTTGTCTCCCAATTTGTCTTAGAGTGCGAATGTTAAACGCCGCCATGGAAACGGGACAGAGTGATCTTATAAAGGACTGTTGCCGATAGACATCCGATGGGTGTTGTGGGAAGGTGGCTGCAGATGATGGTTAGTAATGGGGGTCGGGATGGGAGTAAGAGAAAGGTGGAAAAGTAAGAAGAGAGGCGCCAGCAGTAGCATGTTTTCGCTTATCCGCCCTGCTGTATGCAGCAGATAAGGCGACCCTTGATAATCTGCGCGACGACCAATGCAAGATGTAGTTAGAGTTTGGGGAAATTGTCATGGTTGTATGTGGGCTGAGATACTGCCAGGGCGCCCAGAACTAGATAGGAGGACGAGTAAGGACCTCAACAAAAGCCTTTAGCTCAAAAGCCTGTCTGCAAGACAGCGAGGAGGTGGCAATGGTTTAATGTTACTGAAATGGACACCATCCCGTTTGCAACCCCAAACCTAGAGGATCAGGAGACTGAGTTTGCCTGACCTCTAAGCATTGTACAATCAGGTAGGAGTAGCTCTCAAGCGGTCCGGAGGCACAACCCAGTATAGGTCAATGAGTCAAGGAGGTACGCAAACCGTCGCACCACGTTAAGGTCCAGTCTCGTTGTGATAGTGGGTCCCGCCTAACCACAGGCGAATACCTTTTGTCGTTACTAGTGGTCCGGCCAAATTGACACCTACTGAACTTTATCTCTGTGGTTACGATATGCCGTTTTGCGCATGAGTAATGCTTACCTAACAACATAATTCGTACGAAATTAGAGATTAAAATTACAGTCGAAGGAACATTGGTCGTCCTTATTCCCAGGAAGCTTACTCGATACTCATAAATAAGTATGGATTTGATGAAAAAACAGGGACTGCGGTGTCCCGGCGCCGGTCTATATCAAAATGTACCAGCCAGGTTAACTCCTAATTACCAGCCCAAGCATCTCACACACAAGACAAAAGAGAATCACAAGTTAGCAAGCAGAAGTGTAATATGTTGAGTAGGAGTGTCGGTTGAGAAAACGCATACATTTTACTGGATCATATACCGATACATGATTAAATTGGAACCAAATACACAAAACAAGCTAGTACTTAAGATTTTCCGCGAAGACACCGTTGTACACCTCCGGATGAGGAAACGAAGCATTCACTTTCTCCGCAAAAAATGGGAAAGGCCTTCCCTTAACTGCAAAGTACACAAGCTGTGTTGAGTCTAACTTCCATCCGACTCCTCGCAATGTTGACAACGGAGTGCGAAAGCTGACTCCCTGCCGGAAAAGACCGAAACCACCGTAAGTGTGGACCTCCACTAGCTGGTCCGCGGTAGCTGTGGAGTAAGATGGCGAGCGTACGGGAGGAAGAAGTACGATGCGATGTACGGCGCGTCGTGGTACATAGAAACCCGCAGCGAGCATAAGCACAGCTGAAAGAAAAGTGGAAGGCGGACATGTGTGCACCGACTTTTTACACGCCGCTCGGAATAATATAATGGATACAGAAAAAGCTAGGAGCGGAATAAGACTATACTGGAGGAGGTATCATGGAAGGGTATGACATTGGTAGCATCATAAGGTTGAATGGAAATGGCAGCATTTAAGAGAGGCATAAACCGTTTCATATCAAAATGGATGTTTTCAGGTTGCTGTCTGGGTGCGTGTAGTAATGAGTCGCAGATGTTCCGGCCTACACTATGTGCGCCGTCCGTGAATGAATAACGGACAGACGCGATGAGCTAGTTTGCTGAACTCGACGTGACCAGCTGCCGGTTGACGTTACTCAACTGCGAGACATCTTCAAACTGCAACGCAAGCAGCCGCTGTTCGATGACAATGGCCACAACAACCGCAAACAGAAAGGATGTCTTCGGTGGTGCTGAAGTATGTGCCAAGGCAGTGAGGGTAGGACTAACGAGCTTTGTCACCGGAAATGTGCCAGTGTCTCTAGCCGAAGTTAAGCAATGAACAATGATTTATCACGGGATAAAATCAAGTGCTTGACACGTCCCGTAGGATGGTTGCGGTGAATATGATGCAAGTAAAATATGTCTGGGTCATCTATCGAACGTCTGCCGAGATGAATACTTTGATAATTAACATCAGTGTAAAATGAAAAAATTATCGCGCGTAAACGTTCAGAAAGACACTGGGGTGCAGTGATAGTTGAGGTAAGGAGTGAGAAAATAAGATATGGTCGCTCACTTAGGTCTATTTGGTACATAAGTCCTGTTGAAAACATGCTTGGCGTAATCCACAGTAGGGGAGTTTAGGTAACAAAATGTTGGGAGCTAAGAGCAACATCTAATTGTTTTTTTTGAAAACCTCCAAGGTAGGAGAGGATACAACTGAGTCTGGGAGTGCGTTCCAGGGTTGGCAAACCCGAAGGGAAAAGTAAACCCGTCGACACTCTAGACGCTGTATTGTTCCTTCAACTTTAAGCAGTTACCCTTGAGCTGCGTGTTGTGGCTAAGTTTCAGCAAATGGCGGCATACGTGGTTGGGGTCACTCAGTATCTGATACGCCAATATGAGATCGCCACGCAGTCTTCGATAACGTCCGCTGAAAATTCCCAACAATTTCAATCTGTCTTTCAAAAGGAACGCGATCGCAGAACGTCCAGCTGGAAGCATATCATTTGTAGTTAGATACACATTCCCATCGGCGACCCCGAAATACACTTCTCCACAGTAAAGCTCATCTGTGTGTAGAACAGGGACACGCTGCCGACGCTGACTGCTTTAATGGTCATTTATCAATTCGAGTGCCCCTATGGTGTACGTCGGCCGCACGGCGCGGCGTCTGCCAAAGCGCGTCAATGAGCATCACCCACGTTGGTTATGGCAAGGAGGAACGGGGGCTACTAATAATTCCGTTTTGGCTCAGTGTGTCAACACTGCGCATAAAATATAGGGGAACCATGCCTTTCGAATAATTTAAGGGGTGTCCTGTTGCAATCGAAAGGGTTACATCTAGGTATGCTGCAACATAAGAGGTAAGCGGTATTCGGTTGCTTTAAACTCGTTTATGTTCCCAAAAGAAAGTTAATCCGATTCGGCATCTGCCTTGTCCAGATAAAGTTGAAAATGCCGAAACCAGTAGCTCCGGATCGAAAACGTAATTGTCATAACTAAGTTTGCCCGTCGCTTCACGAACCTGGCGGGCAGGTGATTTGTTTCAAGGAATCGATCGTCGTCGATGCATTGGTGCATTATCTAGAAAGTTGTAACATTATTACTTCCGGGCAACACGGGTTTCGTCGAGAGCGATCGTGCACAATGAATTTATTTAATAGCACTGAGTACTTGGACCGAGAGAGCTGACACTGGGAACGCCGCTGATTTGATCTACTTGGATTTGTCGAAGATATTCGATCGTTCGGATTGTCGGATTCTTTTTTCCAAGCTCCAGTAGTAGCGGATCGGTGACCCTCTCTTGAGCTGGAAAGCTAACTTACTCCTGTAACGACGATGATTGGTCAGATTCTGGATTTCCTTATCTGAGCCTATACCAGTCGAGTCTGGTGTGCCCCAGAGCTCAGTTATAGATAGACGATTGTTTTTGGTATTCATCAATGAAATTGCGAAGAAAATAGCTACAAAGTTACTACTGTTGACGATATCAAGACGTGGCGCCGAATTCAAGCGGATACCTATCAGAATTTACTTCAGTGTGACCTAGATAGGATACATGATTGGTCAACCCGAAATCTGTCATAGTTCAACGTGGACAAATGCAAAGTAATCTCCGTAAGACACCAGAGTACCTATTCCTACAGGCTAGGAACGCCAGTACTGCAGCGATCATCCGTCGAACGCGACGTTGGCGTTCTGGTTCAGGATAAGTTGGGTTCTTCCAAGCAAGCCGCAAAAGCTGAGTATTGGGAAACGGCAAGGGGGGAAACCGAAGCTTCGTTACCATGACATGATCAACGTGAGCCTATTACGTTCTAATCCGGATTGCCGGAGGGCTTTCTCTTGCAACTGGGCAACGACCTTCGTGATCAGATTGCACCATGCACGCCGATCAACCGCCTTCGATGCCTGTGACCTGCAATCAGGAGAGGCTCACTTTGATCATGTCCTGGTTACGTAACTCTGGTTTCCGCACATTCCTTTTCCCAATACTCAGCTGGCCATATAATAGTCGTTACGGTGTCCGCGTACGATCCATATGGCTTACATGACCGAGCCACCTCAAGTATTTCAGCAAAAGTATGCAGGCAACTACATACATCCCACTTCCGTGCCGTGTGTAAAAAACGTACAATCGTCAGCAAACAACAACATACGGATAGTGTCTCAAAGACTATAGTTCTCGAATCGAAACGACGGACATTCAGCAACCTACCATCAATACGGTACTACACACGAATAGCGTAAGTACAAGTCGCACCAAGCACATACGACATCATGGCATGAAGATTAATGTTGAACAGAGCAGGAGCTAAGGCAAAGCCTTGCTTCACACCGGAGACAACTGCAGTCATCCGAGGTCTGTCCACTCAGCTGCACTCTCGCCCGCATACCACTATGCAGACGTTCAATTAAACTTACAAAATTACGCAGGCAGCCAAACTTACCCAACACCAGCCACGATGCTTCACGGTTCCTCGTATCAAATGCCTTGGTGAAATCAACAAAAAGCGAGCACAACGGCTGAGGTCGTTCTCTGCACTTCTCCTGCAACTGACGAGCTGCAAACCCCATATCAATAGTGCTGCGAGTCGGGCAGAATCCACATTTCTCTTCCCTCACGTTCGATTCCACAACCTGACTGACGAAGCGGTTGAGCAGGGTTCGGGAAATCATGTTGCTTACACAACCCAGCAAGTTGATGCCACGATAATTCGTACAACATCGCTTGCTCCCTTTGCCCTTGTACAGTGGTAGCACAAGGGCATCCTACTACGGAGGAGGTATCTTCTCCTCAATCCATACGCGTTGCACCAACTGGTGCGGCGCAGTCACCAACGCCGGGTCTTCCATGTTTCAACACTTCAGGCGGAATCCGGTCGGCACCGGCACACCTGCCGTATCGCAGCTGTGCAAGTGCTCTCTGCGTTTCACGCAGTGTCGGCGTGTCCGCCAGACGCCTTCACATTGTGCTGCTTCAGACCGTTTAAAGTAGGCCGGTCGATCTCTGAACGGTTGTTCAAGAGACAGTCAAAGTGTTTCCGCCAGATCTGCGTTATGTTTGCAGATCGTGCAGGTAGCGCCTGGGCTACCATCGATTAGAGTCCTCAGCGGCTCCAATTTTGGTCCATACACCGTCTTCATGTAGTCAAAAAATTCATTGTGTTGACGACGTTCGGGGCAGCATTTCCTTTGCTTCGCCTTCTCTGTCCACCATGTATTTTTAATGCGACGGCGGTTTCGGGTCAGACGCCGTCGAAGTTTGCGATAATGACTGGTCTTGCCAAAGTCACTGGGGTCTGCGACATGTGCAGCAATTGCTGCATTCTTCTCACACACAAACGTACCAATCGTCGCACTGTTCTCACCAAAACAACCAGACCGCTTGCAGTTTGCGCGCCCGATGGTCTCCTTGACAGCAGCTATCACCTGGTCGCTAATGTGGTGCCACAGGTCGCCCACTGTGGCTATGCATTCCATCTCACACAGTCATGCAGCCATCGCCTTCTCCAGCTCAATACACAGCACCGAGGGAGAGAATGTTAAATTAACGCCGATTCACGGCGGGAGGGAAAGGACAGATTTGCGAAAATATATGTACAGTTTGGTCCGCACCAATTTGTGTTCAGTACTATACTCAGCTAAACGCAGTACACCCGTCATGCGCACTTCACGCATATCACACTGACGTACGATGACATAGTCGAGCAGGTGAGCGTGACCACTCCGTGGGTGCGTCCAGGTTGCTATATCTCTCGCACTTTGCAAACCGAGTGTTCGTGATCAACAGGCCGTGAGTGGCACATAATCAGAGCAGCTTGTCACCGTTCGCATTCGCTGAACCAGTACCATGCGGACCGGTGACATTTGTCTACACTGATGCATCACGCACAACGCGCGCATTGTAGTGACCCAGCAAGAATAATCGGTCGCTCCTCGGCACAGACCATATCACGGATGATAGCCGAGTGTAGAATTGATCACGTGTGTCATCAGGATACTACATGGTCCGACCGTACGTGCTTATAAAAGTGGCAAACTTATCTCTTCCGAGTCGTAGGCGAACAGCCATCAGTCGCGCGCTAATGCCTGTTGCTTCACCCACCAGCTGACCATTTAGACGATTGGATATTGCAAACCCGACCCCATGTTTACGTGGTGCTGAGGTGGCGTTGTCCACCCGGTAGAATGTGTAGCCAACATCTCGTTCATGCAACTTCCCTTGCTCAGTGAGCCGAGTCTCACTGAGCGCCGCAATATCGATGTGGCAGCGCGCCAGTTCCATCGCGACCAGTGCAGTGCGTCGCTCGGAGCAGTTACACGAGTTCCGGTCCAGTAGTGTGCGCACGTTCCAGCACCCGATGCTGAGAAATTCGCGCGCAAGCATACCATTGCATTGGTGGGCAATCGCACACGAGATGATGGTTGTGTTTCGGAGGTTTACTTGGGGGACTCCAGGAGTAGCCTATGGCTCAATATCCTGAACCACAAGGCAGTGGGGAGCAGATTCAGTTCGGGAAAGTGGTTGCAGAGACAGATTGGGATCCGCTTGAGATCCATCACAAGCAGCCTTGGAGATATGGAACGATTCATATGTTTTGCGACCGTAGTAGGATACGTACCTACGATTACGGCCAGACACAGGAATGTTTTGGCGGGTTTACATCAATTTAACCTGGAGATGCCTGGCTTGTGGCGGCCGGTAGCATCCGTTGAACACCCGGTGATGCCCCCTACCATCAGAGACAATGCGTGGTGCTCTACGCCAATCGAACTGTGAGCTAATAACCCGTAGACCTGTTGTCTCCAATGGCTAGGTTTTACGGGAACAAGATCATCGGCCACTTCCTACCCTCCGAAGAGGATGGACTAGGATATTGGCAGGGCGACCACATCTGACAGGAGAACGACTCGGGTCCTCAGCCAAAGCCTTCGATTAAATGTACGCCTGAACGCAACGGGTCTAGCACAGGGTCGGCTCACTGATTCATGCGGATTGATGTCCTGAATCTTAGCAAGGAGAAGGGCGTAACCTAATTTCTAGCCAGCGGTCGGCACGAGGAGGCGTCCAGGATATGAGCCCATGGCATAGCAGTGGCAGCAGGGGGTAGGACAGCTGTCAAGATCTGGCCACCACCAGTCTCAGCGCACCATAGGCTCTCTCGCATGAGATTACGTACATCGATGGCGGCATCCGGTTTCGGATTTGCTCGTCACTGTGGCCTCCAAAGGGGCAGCGACAGGACGCCTGCGTCCACAGAAGGACATTGGGTGGCTTGCGCTGCCCCAACCACACACTCCATATCCAGTGTAAACCCGAAGGAATAAGACCAGAAGACATGTGGATCGGAGCCAGGTTTCATCAAGGCAGCCTGCCCACACTCCTTCAACAAGCAGAACAGAGGCATTCCTGCGTACTTAGGAAATCATGCACATCAATCCTGCACAAGGCGGTGGCTGGGCCCTAGCTCGTTCCACGCAAGATGTGTGGAACCACTCTTTGAACCTAGCGTCGTCACGAGGACGGTGCACCCCGTCTTCTCCAGCATCGATCAACTGTCTCCCAGAGCCAGCAATCGAGGTGGAGGGTATTAGAAGGGTAGGCACCTTGTCAACATTCACAACAAGCGCAGTCACACCGGGAAGCTCAATCAACATCCCAGTTCTGAAATGAAAGAAGGCTCATCACGCAGGCAAATGTACCACGCCCACTGTCTTATTGGCCTGGATTAGTAGATCGAATGGGAGCGTACGCATCGTGCTTTTCTTCCATATATATATATATATATTTATGGCCAATGCATGTCTATATGTATACCGAATCAATTCGACGAGGATACTCATACTGCTTTGGTACGGCCACCTTAGTGCGGGGAATCGACACGGGGCAAACCAGTATTACATTGCTAGGACATGAAGAAGGTGAGTTTATCACCAAGTAATGGTGATTTCAGGTGTTGTGAATCAAACGCTGAGTTGATCGGTGCGAATTCCGTGGAGTGATCAAGAGGGCGGTTGTCCAGGTGCAGGAGAAGGCACTATCGCAGTGGAAGAAAAGCACGATGCGTACGCTCCCATATATACGGCTTGCGCTCAGAATCCGTGGAGTCAAGACACGTTGGATAAAGAAACAGTAAGCAAGAAGTTTGTGTGGACACATGGAATCCAGTATGTGCATAAGGAAAGTAAATCTTTCAACATCCTCAAGACGCAACGTTGTTGGAACTAGCCAAGAACACAAGGTTGAGTTGCCGTACGATCCAAAACGTAATATTGACAGCAGTGTAAACAATAGATCACGGAATGCAATACTTCTGCAATTTACGCAATTTTTGTGAGTAGAATCTATTCAGTTCATGGAAATTTAATTAAAATCGAGACAAGTTACTTACCAATCCGGAAGAGAAATAATCATTTCGCCCTAATGAGGCTCGCCAGTGGTGCGTATTTCCTCGGTCTCCTTATGGAGGCGAACCTATGACAACGAGCAGCTTATGCCACTGGCCAGGAGGGGGGACGATGCTGACCATCATAGATTGAAATCCAACTGCGATATAGTCCGATCCGTGCAGGTTACTGCCGTGCAGAGGACAGTGTCTGGATCTCAGATATCAGGACTTCCCTTGTTAGTAACCGTGAATCCACACGTTAAAGATTTTTGGGCTCAGTAATTGATTTCCTACTAGTAGAGGGATTTGCTATTCGCAATTAGGATACTAGCCAGATGGGTCAGCTATAACGCACTTAGATCTCAATCCATGATGGTCAGCTATCGTCCCCATGGCTCAGTGGGATAGGCTGTTGGTTAATTTGTTCGGTACACTGGAGGGGACACTGACGAGCTCCAGCGAAACCAACGTCTAGTGCTTTCCCGGATTTGTAGCTGACCAATCAGGTAATGGAATATAAATTTTCGTGGAGTAAGCGTTAAGGGAGCACGACCATAGCAATCTTCAGAGCCTGTCATTTCATCAGCAGCCCGGAGGACTTTGGCCCAATGCATTCTGAAGCCAACTGGCTGGCCAATCACAGCGTTTTACCTAGAAGTCAAGCAATCACAGTGGCCCACCTTGAAGACCTCCAGTCAGCGCACTAATTCGGCAACCAACAACTGCATTATCGGGCATCTACTAGTTGCTGAAAACCAGAAAGGTACATTTTCTTATAGATTATTTATTTGCCGGTAGAATTTGACACACAACCAGCGCAATTCATTCCATGAATATTCAAAAAATATAAGGGGCAGAATTTTCGAACAGATGTAGTGAATAGGAACCATTCAAGCCTCCAGTATTTTGTGACAGTCAATTGTAGTCTTGTTTATATCTTCCGATTGTTCATTTGTTTATCTTATGGTACATACCGAGTACTTGCACACCATGCCAGTCACGCTGAACCATACTGTTTGTTTCTGCCTACGTGCCCCCTATTCTTTGTAGCTTTTGTCAATACACGTTGAGTCCAGACGATCTAACTGTTATCTCTACTGCCGTATTCGGCACCGCTCTCACGTGCCACTCCTGCAATCACCATCTAAATAGCGCACCACAAAAAACTTGTTTCTGCTACTCCTTACATATTGCACCTTCGTCACATAATGGTTCAGATCAGAACATGGACCATTGTAAATGGTATTTGAATATTCTGAACTACTTAGCAAAATAAGCGAAAATGGTTCGTTGCTTTATAGTTTTCACAAGTTATCCGAACAATCTTGGCGTACATTTTGGTCCTCATTTGAAGGAGAGTGAAAAATGCATGTGAAGGTTGGGCACATTGAATCCGGACCAGCAGGGAACAAACGTTAATTATTCGCTGGGAATTTGAACTATAAAATCAGCATGGTGTCAAAGGGTTCCACGTGGTCTCTTACCGCGCGCAAAGTGAAACGCCAATCTTGCAGTTCTGACAAATTGAGTTACAAAAAGAAATGATAAGCAACGAAAGTGGTATTAACGAAAAGCGCAAGTTCACTTTTGGCAGTTTTAAAAATCAGTTCGGCATAAACAAATGTAACGTACCAAAGCTAAAAGCGGCAGCTGAGACCATCTTCCTGTCAGTATCAGTAGACCGTTTACGTTTAGACTTAGGCAGTGAAATTGGAGAACGAATTTTTGACCACAAAGAACTGGTTTTCGCTGCTGTCTCGGGGGTGCTCGGAGGTGGAGGAACAACCGGGTCAGGTACTTCGGCTTTATCCGCAGTGGTTTTAATGAAAAGAGCTTTCGCCCGGCTAAAGAAATCGGTACATGAGCGCCGGAACTCCACGCGTTGCTCTTCAGTTAGCCAGCCAAAGTAATAGGAAGTGCTGAACCAAGCAACCGAGTGAAATGCGCAGAAATATCCAAAACCACGATAAAGACTGAAGCGCTCTGGACCTCGGTAAATCTCCGCGGCACGAAGCAGAGACATCGTAAGCTAAAAATACAAAGTGAGACCAAACAAAAAACCAAGTTTAGTTGTTGTGGTACACAAAAGGTCGAAATGCTTTGTTTAACTAGGACACCTGTCGTAAGGACATTAAAAGCGTTCCTTTACATGACAAGCACAAGACAAGTACTCACAGACACGGGAAAAATCGCCCCGATGAAAGACAAAATTACATCAAGAATGAAGCAGAGAGATACAAGGTATAGGCAGCGAATATAAACAAAAATTTCGGCGACAGCACTTTGTACCGAGACATAAAAGCAGTGCAATCACTAACGCGCAACTAACGACGAAAAACGAGAACAGGGGAGACTAGGGACTAATTGTACAACCTAAATGCAAAAGGATTACGCAAGAAGAGGAACGAAACCGATTTACATGACGAAGCAAGCGAACGGAGCAGATGATTGGACGCCATCGCATATCCGCCTTCAAGCTGATTGCTTAAGATTTGGCTGCGTTGGAGAGAGCTTTCTTGACTGAAACAAAGGAAGTATCTCATGAGTGTTGAAGCGCCTTTAGTTATGGAAGTCATCTAATTATATACATCAAGGATTCTACGAGCCAGTTATGGTCATTTTCGATGACTGTTTTGTTGAATAAACCGCTTGTCCCGGAAGAACGGATTTCTGCGACATGGTGACAAAGAAAACCAGAATAAGTTCAACGAACGGTGATCAGTTGCTGACTGGAGCGCAACCAGCCGTGCAAACATGCGCTATTGAACATGGTGTAACACAATTTGGCCAGTAGTTGGAGACTTTGCATACTGGTGCGTCTAGAGGAACAAGCGATTGCGTATCGCCCGAAGATGTTTCGACACACGCTCGGAGGTGAAGCACACCGCGTGCTGCAGTACGAAAAGGAGGAAGACCCAGTTGATCTGGAGACAAGTATCTGGAAATTCCATTAGTGTGAATCAATATAAGAAACCAGTTCAAGGTGAAGAATTCTTTTCGGTAAATTCTCATCGGACCCAAACGTTTACATAACACTGATTGTGGGGAAAGCGTCAACTTGGGCTGGGATTGAATTCGAAAAGAGGCGGCGCTCGAAATTCGAACTAGCAATGGTCACGGGACCTGAATCGAAGTGAGCAAGTTCAAATGTCATTCGCTCGTCTGTAAGAGTCGACAAAACAACTCAGTTGGTTTAGTACACACTGAAGAAGTCACCACGATTGGTGATGAAACGTTTGCAACGAAACTGTTCAGCTCGGAGAGCAGAACAAAATCTGACTTCTGGACTGTTTGAATAATCAAAATCGATAAGCTGAGACAGAGATAGAGTTGGTAAACCAAGTAAACTAAATAAACATGCATACGTGAAGCACAGTAGTTCAAAGTAATTAAGTAGGTAAGATAACAGCCAAATAACTAAGTAACAGTGTCCGTTGGCCAAGGTAGTAGTATCAGCCGTATGAATCGTTTTTGTATACATAATTCCGGCTTCAGATGGTGAATGTAGATAGCCTAGGTGATGGATAAGAGCTGTTTGCGGAATCCTTGGGAGAAGTGTTCAGGTAGTGAGTAAATGACTTTGAAGTCATTCTCTGAAGCTGTATGGCCACATTCAAGGAGGTGCGACATGATTGAGCTGTCTGAAGACCCCATTTCGCCTTTGTAAAACCATGCCGGGATGTGTTCATAAATTCTCTGAGATAGGCGCATCGTCGTGCGACCCACGTATCGTGCACCAGAGGAGCACGATTACTGACAAACAATCTTTGAACGGGTCAACGACAGTAGTCTATCCTTTAAGGGTTTTCTAAGCAACGGCTTATAGTGAAAAACGATTCTCAGGCGGGCCGCGAAATAAGTTTTCTCGACAGCATCTTTCAGGCGTTTGGATAACATATCAGCTGCAGAATCACCTTAAAGTGTATATGTATGTAAAGCTCTTTCTTAGGAGCAATGCTCCTACGTAGCTTTCGATTGCGTTCCTTCAAATGTTTCATGATAAATTTATCAGGATAGCCACTTTCCCTGAGGGCGTCGCTGATTCTGTGTAGTTCTTCGTTGACGGTATCCGGTGTACAAATACTACGCACCCTGAAGGCGAAAGATCTGAAAATTCGACGATTTCTGTGAAGGCCGGGTTAACGAAACGTAGCAGCGGTATCTCTTTTAACATGAAACAGGCGCTTGGACAATTCTATAGAGAACTAGGTTATGCAGCTGTAGGTTCTGGTTCATCCCTGCCATTTTTGCAATTGTATGACTAGCAGTATCATCCGAGATAGAATTGTGTTGGGGATCAATGATGAAGATATCAACAAGCGACAATGGTATGTATCACTTGGACAACGTCCTGATGTATACCACAGTGAACCGCCAGCTGCACATCACATCCAGTAAGTACCATTGCCGACTGATGCAGTTACGTGCTGTATCCAGCTCCACTAGAAGAAACCGCGAAACCGGTTATCAAGACACATGAGACTTGCAAATTCTGCGCGGAGCTACAGCCGGAGGATCGTGATCTGCTATGACTACCATTTCACTCCAATTGACTGTACGAACCGTCAGCCTCTGCGTTGCTACAGTTACGATTTCACTCCGATTGTCTGTTCGACCTCGGCCCCGGATTGGCTGACAAAAGCAACAATGGCCGACTCTCGTACCGTGTATTGCCGAAAAAAGATGAAATGTGGAGCATGCGGGTTACATTTATAGGTTTTTGAGCACATAAGTCTGGGTCTCTGCACTCCATATACTTCCGAACAAATTTTTCTGGATAGCCATTTCTCTCGAAAACGCCACTTAAGAAACTGAGCTCGTCCGCAAGTGTGTCCTCACTACAAATCCTTCTGGCCCTCTCTGTTAAACATCTAATCAAGTTGCGTTTCTGATTTATCGGGACAAAACCGGCAAAATGTATATATTATCCATTCCACGTTGCTTTTCTATGCACCCACCGTTGGACCGATCCATCTGGTCTTCTACTAAGTTGAACGTCTAGGAAGGGCATCGTGTCATTGCCTTCAGTTTCTAGGGTGAACTTGGCATTAGGGTGCGCTGAGTTGAAATGGGATAAAATTGTCTCTGGGCAACAGTGCCTGTCTGTCACGCAAAATATATCATCCACATATCGTCCGTAACATGGTAGACTGGTAATGACTCATCTCAGATAGGTATTCTCTAATTTGCTCATGAACACATCATCCAGTAGCGGTCCAAATGGTGAGCCCATTGCTACTCCATCTCTTTGTCTGTAAATGGACCGTTAAACTGAAATTGTATGTTAGCAGTACACAGCAGGGGTAGCTGTTTCAGTCGCACTTGAAAGGCCGATACACAATTGATGGTCTCGAATCGTGTCACATATATAGTCTATTGTCTCTTCTAAGGTGAAGAGCGACACCACATCCAACGAAAACATCTTTCTTCCGGTTAGCTGAAGCTGTCTTATGGAGTCTAAGAAACTGAATGTGTCTCGTAGGCTGTACCTGGACATAGTATTTCTCACCGGCTCTAGAAGATTAGCTAACCACTTGGCTTTTGCGTGATACGATGAATTGCACATGTCTAGTATGGGCCTTAGTGGAAGTCCTTATGCACGTTCGGTAAGGCGTAGAGTCTCGGGATCATCGTTCCTTTGGGACGAATGTATTCGAATGTGACGGAGTCAATCATGTTTTCCTGTTTCAAGTGCCGTAGAAGCTTAGTAACTGTCTTTCCTATTGCTGCAGGTTTGTCCTTTTCATTCTCCATTTTGCGAAACTTCGAGCGATCGCTAAGAATGGCCTTCATTTTGTCGATGTAATCAACTTTCTCCATCAACACGATCCTTGCCCGCTTATCTGGCCTTAAAAGGAACACATTCTCATGTTGTTTGAGAGATTGGAGAGCATCTAGGTGGTCTTTTTTCAGCAAATACCTAAGTTTAGGTTTGTATTTCAGATAATGGTAAAAAGTATTGACCAGGGTAGAGTTAAAATGCTCAGACGCTAATGCTGACGACAGCGTAAACATAGAAACTTGGGCATACAAATTTTCAAACTGCACTTCTAATTCTAATTGTCTTGAATAACTGCCGGGACAGCAAACGTGTGGACCAAGTGAGAGCACATCAAGCAATGTTTTATCCAAGTTGCAACGGCGTAAAATTGTGAACATACCTTTCCGGTTCGGTGGGGGGAATAAAGTGTTTGCCTTAGTTGTGCAAACCTGCCGCCGCAATGAGGCCAAGCGTTGCTCCTCTTGCTTTGAACAAAAGTATCAAATTGTTTGCACTCCACTGCGTCCACTTTGTCCAATGCGACGGAATACGCGTAGCGATTACATTGCAGCTCATCAAATCTCGAGGCAATGGTATCACGCTCGTTCAACGTATGCCTTTTCAGCGCCACATTAGTTGGATTAATCCGATTTCTACGGAGTATTTTATAAGTGTTTAGGATATTCGCAACGCGAAACACATTCATCAAAGAACCGCATTGTCACATTCGCTAACGCAAGTGTACCTGGACGCCTTTCACGAGCGGTAAAATGTCGCTTACTAGCAGCAGCTGAGGAAATTGCTATCCGTCACCAGAACCCAGATATTCATAGGTATTGGGCGATCTTCTTGAATATGCTTCTTTCCTTTTCCTTCCTAAGTTGATAAGAATAGTAGCAGAATCTTCAAGAACATAGTTTACATTGATAAACGAGACAGAATCCGTTGTTTCTTGTCGAAAACAAGCGCCACCGGTCGATAACTTAGGAGGTGTCCATCCTAACATGATCAATGTGTGGCGTGTGGCCGAATTTGTGGAAAATGTGGCTGACTGTCACCATCCAATGAGGATACACTCAGTCGTGGCACAGCACACGCAGACTCTCAACATTCAAACAGCAACCGGTCGCGGAGGGGATATCAAAGAAGTGCGTCTACGTAGGTTTATTGGTTAGCGACGAAGTCGTACGTTTCCTGTTAGACAATGGCGCAACCATCAAGACTGTAAGGCTTTCAAGATAAATAATTATACCCACGCAAGGCGAACTGTTACAGACAAAGTGGCGAAAAATGGCGCTAGATTTAAAAAACGAGTCTTGTTGACAGCCTATTACATATGACAACGACCATCTAAAAGAATCATGATGACGACCTAGTACTTACGGCAGCAGCCAAAAATCTAAGCCAACATGATGATGGTTTAATTGCTTTTAATCCGCATGAGCACATGACCAGATGAGATGTGGAGTTGCGGATGAAACCTCTCTGGCGAGTACGTCGCAAGGAAGCTGGTTCTCAGGAGACGATTCCACGGATCATCGTATTACTTTATTTAACTGCTTGCTATGAATAAATTAATTCTCGCGCTCTACTTTCCGCATTTTATTACTTTTAAATCAATGAGCTCCGCAAAACTGCTCTGGGACCTACATTATGAAATTTAATAAGTTTTCTAAACAATCCGAGTACATAATGAGTAGCAACGCATCTGGCCTGTGTCTAGCACCATTTAATTATATAATTTATTTATGCAATTGATACCAGCGAAACGGTGCCCAGGTATACATGTGTGACCTGATTAAGGTTACCTACGCATGTAAAGCGTTTCCACTCGAAGGGTTTAGCCAAATCAAGGTGATAAATTTTCACATCAGTTGGACTTCGTGGTCATGAGGAATAAGCTCACGCCGATTCTCAGCAATGAGTCCATCCAGTGTCATGGGTTTGTCCATTTTAACCATGACCGTTTTGCACATGCGTGCTAAGCGGGGACAGACGTTAGTGAGAGTATCCCTACGCGTTTAGCCCAGGTTTGGAGAGGTTAGAAGGATCTGCTCATTTGTCACTGGATACAGCAATACGACCGAGTGTGTTGCTAGGCAGATGGGTACGTTTGTTTTGCACGGTAAAATCACCACTGAATTAAGTAACCCGATGCGGTTGGGCGTAATCGCTAAGGTCGACGAGCCGACAAACTGAGTTAGTTAAGTCGCGTGTATGCATTGAGCTCAAGATGTGAAATGAAGCACTACGTAGAGAACGCTATACGCTGCCAAAGATGCCCTGCCGCACCTTGCTAAGGTGAAGTGCTTCAGCAAGATTGATCTATCATCGGCGTTCTGGCACGTGATCCTAGACGAAGAATCTAGCTTCTGGACAACGTTCGCCACAATCCTCGGGTATTTCGGTGGCTACATTTACCGTTTGACTCAACGGCTTCGAATGAATATCCGCAGAAACGGTTATTGTAAGCTGTTGACGATCTAAACGGTGGAACATTTGTGGCAAGCGATGTGCGGATTTACTGATCGACCAGCCAGAAACATGACGCCAATCTGCCCCACTTTCGTAGCGCCGCGTGCAGAAGAACATAAAGTTCAAACGCAAAGAAGTTGAGTTCCGAAAAGCGGAAGTGATTTTTCTAGATCAAGTTCTGACCTCAGAAGGAATCTACATCAATTAATAAAAAATAAGATAGTACAAGGGATGTCACAACATAAGGACGTCAAGGATGCCGATTAATGACAAGGCTAGTTGAAATCATGAGGCCCATCAGGAGACTGATCCACAAAGGTGTAAAGTGAAGTTAAGGAAAAGAGCAGGAGGCCGTTTTTACGACGATGAAGCAACTCATCAGCTGTGCACCGGTACTCTGTTACCAGAATCCAGCTTTGTCTTTAGAGGTGCAGTGTGAGGGCAGTCCGAGCTGGATGGGTGACGTTCTCGTGTAGAATTTCCGTATTCGGGCGCTCACAGTGGCGAAACAGCACTATGCACAGATCGAAAAAGAGATGCTCGATTTTGTATACAATAAGAAGAAATTCAACCATTGCATCTTCGGGACGAATACTAACGTGTATACTGATCATAAACCCCTCGGCACAATAGCCAGTAGACCGTTGCACAGTGTCGCTCGACGTCTTCAACGCATGCTTAGCAATCACCAAAAATAGAACATGGATCCTGTTAACAGTCCGGAGATGCAAATTTTCACCGCGGACGCTCTGTTGACAGCTCATTTTCAAATAGACTAACATCAACAGAAAAAGGTCGATGTAATAAATCTGACAGATATGAGGGTAATGACAGATCGCATGAAAAATATAAGGAGCCATACCTAAGCAGACGCAGTGTGCAGCGTTGCAAAACGTAATTTCGACAGGAGGGCCAAACACAGAGGATGAACTCCAAAATGAACTAATGCCATTCTTCTACTTTTGAGGTAAGGCCACGGCGCATGCCGGTTTGCTGTTTAAAGGAAATCGCATTTTGAGGCACCATCACTCCACAAAGAGATGCTTAAGCATGTTCAATTGGGTGTTAATTACAGCATAAGTTAAGGAGAGCTGACGTTCTAGTCCGGAAGTACGAGATTAAGCGTTAAGTAATTCAGCGTGCTGGTCCCACGAATTTCGACAACACACAGAACCAATGACGATGCTTGAGGTTCCAGATCGGCCATAGCAGAAAGTAACGGTGTACTTGTTCTGTGACAACGAGGCAGACCATTCAGTCATAGCGGACTGCTACAGCGACTAGTTCGAGATCGATCCACACACTGCTATTATCACGGAAGCAGTCGTTAATAAGCCCAGATGTCAGTCCGCCCGACACGGAATACCGGAAGAACTGGTCTACGACAACGGCCCATAGTTTATAAGTACTGCGTTCCAGACCTGTGCAAAGGAGTGGGAATTTTCGCATCGATAAACAAGTCCAAAGGAAAAATAGAGGCAATAGTAAAACAAGCCAAGAGGTTGGGTGTTAAAGTTTGAAGCCACCCATAAGGACCCATATCTTGCGCTGTACGAGATTCGCGACGCAATATCAATGAAAATCGGTCGTAGTTTAATGAAGCGCTTGTACAGCCTACGTCAGTTGCACTTTTTACACCAAGCACAAGCAACTGTGAAGGAGTTTAAGGAAAAGGATGGTAGATCAGAAACGGTAGTATGACCACGGTACTCGGGAGTTACCTGGGCGAGATATAAGCAAAATATGAAGTGTGGATTCAACGGATACATAATGTTAATAAGCGACGGAAAAGATGTGTAGTGATCACGAAGGTCGGAGGAACAACGGGATAATGGTTTTATACGTGCAAAAAGCTGTAGCTTAACAGGTCCCGCAGGATGACCATGGTGAAAATTCAAAATGTAGGAAAATTGTCAGCAAATTAAGGTGTACACTGGTGTACTTACCGCGGTATTCGTAATTATAAATCCACTGTAAGTCAATTCATGTTCGAAAACACACATGTGTATCTGTTTACACACGGATATACATATCCGTTTACACTGATTTCATGAGGGCTAGAGAGCACAAGAATTGTCTGCGTCCTGTTGTCAATAAGTGAACAGAAATCAGATCAGGTAATGCAGGTGTTGTAATGCATCGTCGAGTCGCCTTTTAAAAGCAGGTAGCGTGGGCGCCGAAATGACACTAGTCGAAAGAGCGTTCCAGGAGCTAGAAATTCGAAGAGAAAAATAGTCCCGGTGGCATTCTAGTCGACTGTATTGCGCAGTCAGTTTCAACTTGTGAAAACACAAGTTTGTATTGCGGTTTAACTTCAGGAAGTGGCGGCAAACGTGATCGGGGTTTTTCAAGATCCGGTACACCAGGATGAGGTCGCCCCGTAGACGGCAATCACTTTCTCTGTACACTCCCAAAGTTTTCAGTCACAGTTGGTATGGTAGGTGGAGCATGCCCTTCACATTTTCGTTACCCTTCGCTGTGCGATACCCAGTGCAACCAGATCGCGTTATCACCAGGGTTGCCAAGCCTGAATCGCGTACTCCACATGGAGCCTCACATACACATTTGGGGAAAGATGGAGGGGTCGAACCGTCCAAAAATAATCAGAAGAAACCGAACGCACCTGAGGAAACACCAGGAACGAGCAAGTAAACCTGTAGTAAGACGTACAACGGTCAACGGTGGGGTGTTAATAACAGCGGCAAGAAAGACTACGCGGAGAGGAAAAGTGCACGGTCTTCAGCGACACTGATAAGATTGACAACGAAAAGGAGAAGGGCATGATAGGATTATGTAGTCAGAGGTAGGAAGCGAATTTATATGACGAAGCAAGCGACTAAATTGCCGCGAACAAACGGAGCAGAAGATTGGACGAATTCGCATGACCACCTTTAAGCTGACTACAAAAGATTTGGCTGCGTTGGAGTGAGGTTGCTTGACTGAAGAAAAGGGAAGAAGCTCATAAGTGTTGAAGGTCCGTTAGTTATGGAGGCCATCGAGTTAGATACATCAAGAATTCTACATGCTAGCTATACTGTGATTTTTGTTGAGACCATTAGGTTGAATAAGCCTTTTGTCCCTGAATGACCGAGTTTCGCAACACAAAATGACCATGACAAAGGTTGAGGGTAGAGATGTCCACATCACGCTAATGACGTAAGGTAGAAAACAGCTGGTTAATGCGTGTGTAGTCATTTTGAAGGATACAGCGTGCAAATGGGTTGCGACGCGCAATCTCAACGTGGACCGTGACACGCAATGAAGTGGACCTTGGTCAACGCACTTAGTAACTGCTGTGACAAGTGCTGCCCGCCGTGATTCGGTGGTTAAAGTTCTAAAGGCTACGGTTAACATCCTAAAGTCCCGAGTTTGATAACTACCATCTCCACCCAGTGAGAGGAAATTAGTTCGAAATCGGCGAGGCAGTGCAGTGTTTTCTGGCGGGTGACATTGAACATCCCTGGTAATTGCAACAAAACACGTCATGATCGACTTTATAACCTGATTGGCTCATTACAATGTACACATAAACCAGGTAGTACGACAGACATTGAATCCAAACACCCCACAGTTACAAGTTATGTCCCTACTACCACCAATCGTGCAAAGTATGAGCCAATATTGAAAGTGAGATGGACCAAAAACATCCAGTTTAGTAAACAGGGACAAGACTACACATTGGGTCTTACGATGTCTTGCATTCGGGAAACAAAGCAACGAACGAGGTGGGCAAAAATTAACTTGGCAGCGGGGTGTGAAGTCACTGATGACTAAACTCGGTGTCAGCGGTCCGTCTCGCCTTCGAGGCTGGAGTCCACGTGACCCGCTTTATGCTTGGCTTGAGATGTTACAGGACAGCTCGCAGTCGACAACAGTGGCTTGTCAGCAGCATGTTTAAAGTGTGCTTGGTGCTAAATTATCTGCGGAGTAATGCTTGTTTATGATACCGGGCAATGAAAGACGCAAAAAAGTTGTTTCATCGACGCCGCCCTACCTTTGTACGGTAGTCAGCTGTTTGTGATGATATGCTGTTGACAAGGTATACGCACTTTGACCCTGAGTGCTTGTTTAGGGCATTAAGTTATTGCGCTGGGCCCCCCATCTTTCCATCTTACCGTTCTTGGTTCCGTAGGTCCCCGTGGCTGTACGGCAGTGAAGCACCGGTTCAAATGTCTGATGTACTACTATTGATAGTGATGATGACACAGAACAGGTACTCGAACCAGTGTAACTTATCCCTGTCTTTTGTTCACTTAAGGAACTAATCTAATCACTGATGTATATAATACCACATGTGCATTTATTGTTGCAAATACGCTGCTGCTATCGGGCAAAAGCGATGCGACAAATAGGGCGATGGTAAAAGATCTGAAAATATTTGAAATGATCTGAGTCAATAAGATATATCCGAACGTTCCTGTATCCGATATCGATTACATAGAATTTGAGAGCAACGAAAACCGCTTCGTGGTTCCGAGCTTTGAAATATCAGGACCAAATTCAGCGATGCCGCTCCAAATGATCGAATGTCCCCGCAATGCGGAACTGAGTCTTTCAGAGACAAGCGTTTTGTCAGGAAAGTTTACTCAATGAAAATTACAGCATGTTTGGCAAGCCAAACTCCTCGATATAAGTTGTCCGTTCATTACCATAACTAACGGCCCCCATGAGCCGATGAAGTTGTTCCTTTGACATAGTTAAACAGACTGTTAAATCTTCCCACTTGCTGCAATCCCGAAACATGCACGACCTCAACGCCAACTGAAAGAAAGTCAAAACAACCTTATCCGAAATAACGAGTTAATCACAGTCAAAGTGAAATGCACAAAGGCGGTAGACCATGCGCATATCTTTAGGCCATCGCACGACATTCGACTTCTAGGAGTAAAAGGTCAATTACCATAATTAGCGGTGCCATGCATACATAGTCAATCTTCAGGAGAGTAGCAGTCATGTGCTGATGTTGAAGCATTCCAGTAGATTAGAAATCGATGCGATAGTCGATTAACCGCTGAAGTGTTGGTTTAACCGCGAAATGCTTACTTTCTCCAGGACGTCACCCATCCTGAGATAGAGTCTGCGGTGTATGGAGAAAGCATTGGATTGAGTTGTAGTTTCCTGGACGGTGTTTGAACTCTGTCGGTCCATCGCCTCGGATGAAGTACGCGAGAAGCGGGTCCCGGGGACTGTCCTGCGGCTCCTTCGACTGACTGAGCCGTCGTCCATAGGCTAATTTGGTAGGTTAAAGCTCCTCACCAACAAGTCAAACGGGATCTCGGCAGGCTTTACTTCCTTTGGTTAGCACGGAGTTGGCGGTAGCTGACTTGCATGGCGAAACCAGGTCTGCGTCCCCACAATCCGTATCCAGTGATCGAATCGGTTATGCCCGTCTCCTATTGGTGGTCTAACTTGTTCGTCTGATCCAACAGTTCACTGTGACAGGACACCCATCGTATCCGCCCTTTTTCGCGTCCTTACGCTTCCATATTGTTAGGCACTGCGTAAACGCTGCCACTCCGCGTCACCTGTCGTATCTGCCCCAGTGGTCTCCTTGCCGCGTGCTATACGGCGTCTCACTCCTAATCCACAATGCTATTTCTGGTGTAGTCGCAATTGCACTCGATTTGTTCTTAATGTTTCCCTCCAAGATTTATTTCGTATAATTTGCACGGATCTTCGCAGTGACAATATCTTTCTTCCACCTATCTTGACCATCGGGTAATGGTTGAACCCACACCTCCTCACTGTGAGGTCAGGTAGCGCCCTGCACCGCGAAAGTCTTACCATTTTTCATGTCATTCATCTGATCAAACTGTCCTGTAGTTGTAGCGAAACTAGGCATAAAGTGTGGCAGCAAATAGTTCGGTGGTAACATTCCAGGATGTAGTGGGCCTTCGCCTAAAAACCGTTCTCCCTATAAAGAGCCACATGCACCTATCTAACAACAGTGAGACGTGTCGGATGTTAACAGCCATTAAATAAAGTCACACCGGTAGAGCATTGCATCCAGCAAGGAGAAGCTGAACTAGCTGGGAAGAGTGGGCCCCTGTTTGGCAACCGATTGGACGAAAGGAGTCTAAAGTGAGCAATCAGTCACCGGCTCCCAAAGTAGCGTGACTCGTTAAATTCGCCCCACTGCCTTGAGGGTAGGCTATGTAGCCAAATGCTCGAAGTGGTTTCCCCTAAATCAACACTGTTACGGCTTGGGCAACCGGGTAGTAGCTTGCTCTCCGACGAAACTATGAATTTCGCTGTGCTGTGGCTGGTTTTCTTTTTATGACAATTGTACCTTCCTTTGATTTTGATGGTTTATGATGATCATTTATAGGTTCATAGACTGATGCATGTGCCTTCGAAAGTGGCTCTAGCCTTTGGCATGCTTCATTGCCGACTACGCCTTTCTATTCGAATGGCTTTGATATGGGTTGGTTTATTCGTGCACGAATTCCCACTTAGTTGAGTAGATCTGGAACGCAGCGCTGGTAAACTAAGGACCATTGTCGATTACCTCCTAGGGTATTCCGTGCCGCGCGAATTGATTACTGCGCCTATGATCGTAGTGATGAGTAAATGAACGTCAAATTAATCACTATAGGAATCCATTTTAAGTAATATATGCGGTTGTCACAGAATAGATAAACTGCCGTCAGTTGCCACAGTCGATCATGGACATCATGCAGCATCATTGGTTCCCTCGTCTGCCGGATTTCATGTGAAGGGCCCGTCACACAATTCAATACATGATCTCTTATTTGACCCGTCATTCCTGGACGGAACAGCAATTCACTTGCTTGATTAGCAGCATAGTTGCCGATGGATGTGTTTCGGCATTTCTCTTCGGAGCGATAACAATACGGCTTCCTTTGAACACTAAACCACCACCGACAGTGAGTTCACCCCGAAAATTGAAGTGAGTTGCTATTTGCTTCGGTGGCCGTTTCTTCGCATCTGGCCATCCATAGAGAATAGTGCCCAGTAAAACTGAAAACGTGGCAGTTTATTTCTTTATATGATGTCAGACGCTGTGCTAGAGTAACTGCTTCGACCTCTTCTGGATGACGCTAGGCTACCGGCAGATTAGCTCTTCACAGGGTATCTGTGGTGAAAATTCGTGCATCCGGTGTGGACACAGTAACCAGGTAGTATTTTTGAAGCCAGGTACGAGGAACGCTGTGCAGCGGCTAACCAGCTATCGACACAAGCGGTTTGTGATGGGAATACATAGCTGTCTTTCTTCCGAAAGTATAATAGATGAAACGCTCCAAGGCATGGACTACCGCAAGCATCTCCTCAATCTGCACATAGCGCTGCTCGGTCATTGTGAATGTTTGACTGTGGAAATCCAAAGGCCTTCCATTCTGTAGGGTGACATCACCTATTCCACCCTAATGTTACACTGTACCTACAGAGGCTGCGCTGGATCGTAATATGAGAGTCAAGACGAGTTGCTTATAAGGTGCTTAATAGTTGCAAATGCAGTTTCGTGTTCTTTTCGCCAACTCAACTTTACTTCTTTATGTGTTAGCTTCTTGATTGATGTCAGGTTATCAGCAAGTCTTGGCATGAAATGGCCCAAATAATTTAACATACCGATTAGACGATGAATTCAGTTCACTACATTAGAGAGCAGCATTTATCGTAAGGTCTTAATTTTCCCTGACTCCTTCTGTTACTAGCATATACCCATGGAAAAGCACCCCAACTTGCCGAAGCGCAATTTTCCCACGTTTAAGCATGATGTTCTCTTGTACACAACACTACAAGAAACGATGGAGTGGCGTCATACTTTACTACGGTCGAAACGTAGATCAAAACATTGTTTGACACACGTTACACCACCTACACCGTTGACCATTAGTACCAACCGTACTCGGAACATTCAAATCAAACGGTAAACACAGCCAAGGATAATCCCGAACGGTGTCAAAGATATTAAGGAAACTGAATTCTTCGTCTACAACTACGTTCTAAATTGTGAAAGGCAGATCTACCTTCGTGAAACAGATAGAATTCGCCAAACGCGGCAAAATGTCTTCCAGAGTAGATAGCTCATGTTCTCTACGCAGTACCTCATTCAATGGTTTCGGGTCAAACCACACGTGCAGTTCACCCGTCTTCTCCGTAATGATTGCGATCTTGTAAACCCAATCGGTTGGCTCGTTAACCTAGGCAACCACATCCACCCTAAGCAAATTGCTCAACCCAGCGGAGGAAATGTGATGTAGTGAAAACGGAACTCTCCTAACCGGTAACGCATTTGGTTGTATCAAAAGGTCTGAGGGCAAGTGGGCGGTTCCCTCAAATTCTCCCCAACCCGGGCTAAACACAGACGGATACTGGTTGTTAACGCCGGTTTCGCCCTAGCAAGCATGTACGAAACGATCATGGTCAAAGAGAAAAAGGCCAAAAACCGATGGGAGCTCGTCTTACAAGCACGAACTCCAGTCGATGTGAGGTTTTGTCCCTTGTGAAGACCACTTCGACTGTAGCTGAGTCCTTCGGAGGAAGTTTGGAGCCATTCCAAAAGTGCAAGCAATCTTGACATGATGGGATGTACATTCCGGGAGAGTGCTTTCTGTGTGGAATGTTGACAGAGGCACCTGTGTCAAGCTGGAACCGAACGGCACTGCATTTGATAGAAAGACTTGCGTAGACACATTATTGTGAGGTTTACCGATACATGTTGACAAACGAATGTTCTTCATCCGCGGGTGATTTGTCACGAAGGAGCGCACTCACATTGGCTGACTAACAGCAACGAGCAAAGTGGTTCCTTCTTCCACATTTGGCCCGCTTCTGTCCCCACGCCGAACGCCGTTTGCGGTCGATTGGGTGTCGCACAGCGCAAAATTTGCAGGTCTCCTGTCTCCTAACTCGACTCCCTCTAATTAAAGAGTCCAAACAAGAATGATACTAGTAGAAGAGCGCAATGGTAGAACCAAATCATACAAAGCACTCATCGACATCACATACGGTCCCATTTGGTGAGCGGACTGTGATACAATTTAGAGCAAATCGCAGTATAAAATTAAACTACCGATGGTGATCTGCGAATACAGCGCAGTCTCTAAAAGCCATTAGATGCATTAGCTCTGAGGTCACTGACTGACATGGTTCTAAAGTTAACCCCACAGTAAAGAGCAGCCGTTGCACACGAGTTGGCAGGGGTCATTCCACTGGCTCATAAGAAGGAAAATTTGTATCAGCACAGACTAATACACGTCAATTCACATGGGAGACCTGCTACGAAAGGACTTGTCACCCATGTGATACGAAATCGGAAATGCCACATGCACGTGGTGTAATGCATCGTCCAGTCGGGTTTTTACTTCCGCTAACCTAGGAGCGGGGATAACCGCATACTACTAGTATCAGCTGTACGCCGTAACGGCGCTTCGCTGACGTGCGACCACCAACAGTCGCACGCGGGCTGAGCATACCGCGAGAACTCCCACCGCTACGCGGATTTGAACCCGCGTCGCAAGATTACGAGAATAGGTTGTTACCACTAGGCTACGGGCCGACCGCATGAGGAAGTAAGTTCCATGGCAGTTATACACGAGCAGAGAGAAAGTTTCGGTGCAATTCCAACAGCTATACAATGACGCCAACGTCACATGGTGGTGGAGGGCCTTGTTCAGTCTACCAAATGTAGAGTGGCACAAGGCTCGAGGTGGACAGAAGTTGACTTGGCAGCGGGAAATGAAGTCACCGACGACCAAACTGGGTGCCGTTGGTCCGTCTCGCCTTCCGGGGTGGAGTACACGTGACTCGTCTTGTGCTTGGCTCGAGACTTTACAGGACATGGCTCGCAACCGACACCAGTGGCGCATCTGCTGCCGTCCCCTACTCGTAGTGCCTGTTTAAAGTGCGTTTACTGCTGAGTTATCTGCGGGGTAATGGCTGATTATGACGCGTGGCAGTGAAAGCCGCAAGGAAGCTGTCGCGCCGATGCCGCCTTATCTTTGCATGATAGTCAGCTGTTTGTGACGGTATGTTGTCTACATAAGGTGTAGGCGCCTTGACCCTGAATGTTTGCTTAGGGCATTAAGGTTTTCAGGTAAGTCCCCCTTCTCTCCCTCTTATTATTATTTATCTCATAGGTCCTCATGGTTGTATGGCAGCGAAGCATCAGTTCAAATGGCTGTTGTACTGCTGTTGATGACCTCAGTGTGGTAGTTTTAGGATGTTTGGGGATCGGGTACACGAATGTGAGATCACCTCGCAGAAGGCGATGTTGTGCACTTAAAACTCCTAGTTTCTAGTCTAAACTGATAAGAGAGGTGGAGTAATCTTTCAATATTCTTGTCGCCCTCGTTGCAGATCCCCAAAGCAGTAAGGTCATGTTTTTGCCAAATGTGCCATACCTCCAAGTCTATTCAATAATACAGAGTGAAGAAAAAACTAAAGTATACCGGTATTGGTCCGTCACCGAAATCCTCCAAAGCATAATGAAGCAAGACCAATGGGTGGTGAGGGTAGCAATAAACATGCTCATAGATACTAGATTTTTGTGATATAGCAAGATGAGACACTCTTATACCACAGTATCCGGTGTGATACGTTCAGTTCTGCGCGACGAAACAAATCATACAAGCTGCATGAAATCAGAGTGTTTTGCTGACTACAGAAAAAGTAAATGCCCGTAAAACCCCACGCCAAGCAGTTCTTTTTTTACCCAAATGGATGTGGACAACTGCGTCTATGTATAACCGCACCGCATACTAAAGCAAGCATCAGGCACACGAGTAAAGCAAGTAGTATTGATCAGAAATGCCCATCAACTTTGAAAGACAATCGGGTGTAGGGTGAATGTGGTGCCAGGAACATGAACCCAAAAGGTTCGGACACCGCATTCAGATGTGTCCGAAGGTAACCCTTCTAAAATGCAACGTAAGAGAAATGCCAGCTATGCTACCGCATAGCTGGCGCTTATGTAAGGAGGCTACAAGTTACTCCGCCTACGCTGAGCTGAGCACCAGTGAGCGAGGATAGCAACATTCAGACAGATGGAAATCAGATATACTAAAACGAAGTACTCGGTAGTCAAGCATAAAACGCAGACACTGAGTAGAAGCACGAAAATTTCTCGCTCACAGGAAAAATGTCTGTGGCCTAGATGAAAACATATAGCACGGATTCTGTGCACAAAAAGGGAAGCGTAAGAACAAGACCATGTTTTGTGGATTAGTACTAATAAAACAAGTTGTGGGACTGGAATAATAAGTTCATTTCGTGGAACTGTACAAATCTTCGTACGTCACCAAATCGCGAGAATTTTCTTTTGGTCCTGACAGAGACTCGCTAGGCGGCACAGCGTTGTATGACCGAGAGTTGTAAGGCCGACGAGCTGTGCAGAAACGGGAACAAGATGCTGATTTCAACGAACAAGCCAACCAAAAGATGTACTAAGTTCTATGCGTGGTTCAATGCAAAAAGAAAACATTTCAACTATGAACTGCATTTCATACCGAGTGACGAAAGATACAGCTCCGCATTAGCAACTACAAAGTGCAGTGACTGGGATTGGAAGGAAAAAAACAGTGGTTCCGGCAGTGCCTACGGTACTAGTAAACAGGATATTGTTCCTCTCGTTGAGCGGAAAGACATGGAAAAGGCACATAAATGTAGCCAGCCATCGGAATACAAGTCGGTACCACACAGACAAGTTACGCTGACGGTGATCAGATAAAACTGATCTGCACGGCAGATGGTGTCGGTAGCACGAAGGGTAAACAGGAACACTAAAATCTGATCAACCGGGGATTGCATTGACCACATCGTCTCTTGTTGGAACACTGTCATTTACATTGTCGACCTACTCTAGTTGTGGTCCTCCACATCAAAGGTACCTTCGATACGGAGAATCGATGCACACTTTGAAACCGTTTGATCAAAAATGGTGTATCCGAGAAACATGGAAATTGTAACTGTAATGTGTTCGTCCCAGCTGGCCACAAGCTGCATAGCACAGTCTAGTCCGGAAAAGCACCAGACGCGTTTCGTTCTATTGGGGCTCGTCAGTGGTGCGCATTCCCTTGGATCGAACTCATGACCGCTACAGACAATTGCCAACTAGTAAGCAGTTTAAGCCAAAGAGCCATATAGACCGTCGGTTGGGCTAAACAATTTACAAGCTAACTGGGATTTAGCACGACCTATCTTCCACTGCCACGCAGGTTACTACCTTAGCAGACGACAGTGGCTAGCCTCCGAAGGTCATGACTTCCTCTCACTAGACAATACGTCCATAGCACTGTGAAATCAGGAGGCTACGTTTCATATTACCAAGAAGGAGGAAATGTCATAAAAGCGCAGTACGTGCGTAGTTGGGGTGGAGTGGGTGCTTATAGCAAGTTGTCGTTGCCATACGATATCTCTAGCGGTGTAAGATAGGGATGACTAGTGTCACCTAACCTTTTTAAGTTGGCTATCGATGGTGCCATGGACACTACGTCCACCTGACACTATCTACAGATGTGGAGCTGCACACAGGCAGTCTACTTCTTGACTTGGAGTATGTCGACGGTATTGCCCTTACACGTGACAGCTCCCAAAAGGGCCAAACAGCAGAAGACTTATGATCCGTGGCTGTCAATGGTTTCGAACTATGTTTTGTACCCTCGAGATGCAAAATCCATGTTCCTGCGTTAAATGCAGACGATGAACATCTAAAAGTTGTTCAAAAATTCACCTACGAGAACAGCTGCGTTAGGGCACGCGGGATGGAAGATGAAATCATGAAGCGTATAAAGAAAACGCCATATGTGGCGCCGGCTCTACATCACATACCTCATGAAGGGCGGTCCAAAACGCTGTAGTATTTTCGACCCTACCATACAGATGGGAAACAGCCCATCAAATCAAAGGATGTCAAGAGGTTTGGTACACCCGACCGTTGACGCCCTCGCAAATTAGCACACATCTGGTTGGACCACAGCAAGAGTAATGCGCGTGTTTGAAACCTGCAGTTGATAAAGGAGATGGGATCCATAGCACACACCAAGGATAAGTCATCACTGATCCACTGTGTTTTAACTTCTTCGTTCTCCCACCGCGGACATGAATTTAGCTGAGCTTATGCATAGCAATAGGCTTAATCGAACCATTTCCCTGCTAACCTGAAATGTTGCTTACTCCATCTCCGTCAGCTTCCTTGTGTCATCCTTATTCTATTGCTCATGTAAGTCGCGCTTGGGTATAGACTCATTCTAGAATGTCTAACTACTGACTTGGTGCAATATAGAACCATTATCGCACCTGTCTAAGAGGGAAGAGCCACATCTAGCTTACCTTTTATTGGGCTTAGGTAACTCTGCTGTATTTCGCGATAACTGCACGTGTTGCCCACTACACTGTGGTACTCAGCGTGACAGATTATACCCTCGCTACCTTCTCAAGTGTATTTTAATACGGTGACATACCGAGACGGTGAGCTACCGCATCATCCTCTTCGTGTTATTTTTCGTCCGCGATTCACATCACTATGTAAGCTCCATGGTATTGCTCACCAGACGATGCGAGGTTGCCACTGTCCCTTCTGCTACCTACATTCTGCTTATGAAATCGACTGGTAGGTTACAAGACCTTAGCTAGACCAGCAACCCAATACAGATTAGCACGACACTTAGAGAGTCGGTACATCGCAGGATAGAGGTTCAAACTATTCATGAGTTCACTCGTAGTTGACGTGCGCGCGGTTTCCGAGAGAATTGTGTTATTGATACGGATCGATGCTAGGTGGCAAATTGTTGTGTATGTTTCCAGTTCGGTCGATAGGCGTGAACAAAAAGGTTACCAGCGCTTGGCGGCTTGCAGTACGCATAAAGTATAAACTTTGACACACGCACACACACAATGCTCAACGATTGTCCTTCGTGTGACCATTTTGGGCTATGCATCCGAATTGAAATTGCTTGGAAAATTCGTAGCAAGTGAACAATCCCGACAATTAACCGACTAGTGATTATCATGATGTTGACAGTTCATGTTCCGCTGCACAAGTTCGTGGTGAGAGTGAGCAGTTATATTTCCAGTTGTTCATCAGCCATACTGAATTTACCGGGGCTTATGAAAATGCACGTACTAAGCGGATTGAAGGCGGAAGTGCACAGGCGTCTAGCAGATGTTGAATTGGATATGGCCAATCGGCTGGATAGACTAAGAAAAAGAATAAACCCAAAGGGAATGGTAATTCAGTGTCTTAATATATTAGATCGGAAAGGAATCGGCGCATAGCGACAATCGTTTTAGGAACACCGAATGGCTGCATCCGAGAAGTACGATGCAGATTGTTATCAAATAGCTCATGGCTACAGCAGAGTCCACAGCTGTCAGTACATGGATGACAGCCATGCTATGTCTTGGACACTTGCAAAACAGTGCGAACACTGTTTGGAAAGTCGCATGTTTGACAGTGAACAGCGGGAGTTAGTTCAAGTCAAGACAAATCAAAATAAGCTTTATGAACCCTAATGGGTTCACTTTCAGCAGTTGATGAAGTACTGCGATAGTTGCCGTGCCAACGAGGTCGCAAGCGGCGAATATGTGGTAACGCCACGTGTCAATGCTTAAAGCTGCGCAAAAAGTCGTTCTTTGAGAATCCGCAACTATCTCGGACAGCAGATAATCGGACTGGTCGGCGACACGGATAGTCTGAAGTGAACACCCCATCGCATTCGCACGCTGTTCGATCTCCACCATAAGCTACATAAACCAGACTTTACATTTAGGAGGCGCCACCTAAATACACACTAGTTTACTGTATCACTTGTATATTCATCACTATTCTTGGTAAGCGTACTTATGGCAGTTACTTCACTATTCCTATAGCGGTTTCGGTCAAATATTGATGCTCAAGATTTAAGGCTGTCATTCCTGTTCACGTCTAAACGTTAAAGAAAACACCAACACTTAGTATTGAATACTTATTCTTATGCTTGCGAAAATGGCTGTTAGCCTGACCTTCAAACGAAACCCATGCACGTTTGTAGTACTATTGTTCATGAGAATTGATGTCTCTTTATCCAGTTTGTGGCAGTTCATAATTAAGTTTGGGCGAACGCAAGTGCATATATTATATTCGACCTGCCATTGGACAAGGATAACGTCAATTAATGTTTGTATGTGAGCCGAATGAATCTCACGATACTGTGGTGCACTACTTATGAGCAGTATGGATATCAACGAGGGCGCACAAGGAAAACAGGGAAATCATGAGGCGCAGCCAGACGAAGGTGTGGTGGAAAATAAACCGGACGACGTACACAAGACAAGGCTAGTCACGAACTCGGTCTGTGCATACTAAGTGTGTTAAAGCCGCCGATGCGCGCAAGGCTCGGCAAACTGTATTAGGTGAGCAGCGCTGTTCGTTGACTATTGGGAATGAAACACAGGGGCTTTGGCACGTAGAGCAGTGGAGTATGTGTCAAACAAGCGAATTAGTGTATTTCCGTAAGCGCACTTCCCATGTGCACATTTTTCTCTAGGTACTTTCATCATGGAGCCCTACGGAACATACGTGGGACTAAATATAAATAGAGGATCAAGACAGCGTACTGTCGCGAACCTGAGAATGACCTGTTCCCCGAGCTCGTTGACACTGCATTCGAAGTAAGGACAAAATGTAGTAATCATAGGAGCCTTCAAATTGCTTCGAGGACTAATCCGAACCACTGAAAGTCAGGGGTCACCAGAAATCTTGTCACTAGTACGGTCAGAAATGTAGTATGGTGGCTTTCATCCCAATAGTTCACAAGCTACATAGCAGAGCCTAGTCCAGTGGCTCAGTGGCTTAAGCTGCTGGCTAGTTGGCATCTGCCTCTAGCGGTCTTGAGTTCGATCTTGCTTAGAGGACCGAGGGAATGTGCGCCACTGACGAGCCCCAATAGGGCGAAACGCGTCTGGCGCTTTTTCGGACTAGGCTCTGCTATGTGGCCTGTGAACTATTGGGATGAAAGCCTTATCAGATTTATAACTAAAATCCTACTACTCATGAGTAGTATGGCGTCTATTCGAATTGGGTTATAGTAAGAAAATAAACGATGACGAGGTACTGTCGATTAGGCTTCAGCAAAAGGTTCTTACAACCGTGTGTTAACCACAAGCCTCATATTACCAGAATTGATTTCTGGTGTAAATACTTTCACCTACTTGACAGCTATTCATCGACAGAAGCGATCATCTGAATCCAACTTGATTCCGTTACCATCAGCTACAGGCGGCACAGGTCGATCTAAAACTTACGAGAGTACCCGTATAGGTTTTGCCGATGCTCGCTTGCGCGTCCGCAGTAGGATCACGCTCCAGACACCAGAAAAACGAGTAAGATCGATGTAATTTGCTGGTTGC